GTCTGAAGCGATCCCACACGTCTCGTTAGCTTTAGCTCCCACACATCAGGCTAAAGACTTGGGCCCAATGGTGAAAGCTGCTGTCTCTGCCACTGATTGGGTCCCAACACAAATACCTCAGCTCGCTTACTCGTCATCAACCGACTGTTATAGCATTGACTTAGCTGTTCATGATGTAGGTAAGCTAGAACATGAGGTGATCTCCAGAGACCATGGCAGAGAAAAAACTGACCATTCAGATGTTCCTCAGATGTTAGACACACTTCCTGCATCTCTCTGGTCTCAGGGACCTGAGGATGTAGGTCATGTTAAATGCCTCCCAATCTCTTTTGAACTGACCCACAACGAACCTATATGGTTGTATCAGTATTCTCATAGACCTGAGGCTGAACAAGGTTTGACTGACACGGTCCAAGGGTTGCTGAAAGCAGGGGTCCTCGAACACTCACATTCAGACTGGAATACTCCCATTCTACCTGTTGAGAAGGCGGGGACTGGAAAGTACAGAATGGTACATGATCTTAGGTCGATCAATGCCATACTTAAGACACCTACGTCACCAGTACCAAATCCCTATGTTGCACTGACCCAACTGACACCAAACCAGAAGTGGATGACCTGCATTGATTTGGCTAACGCCTTTTATTGCCTGCCCTTATCAGAGGACCTGCGTGACATTTTCTCATTCACATTTAACGGTTGTCAGTATAGATACACTTGCTTGCCTCAGGGTTTTGCATTATCGCCAGGCATTTTCAATCATGTTTTAAAGAACATTCTTGTACAGCTTCCACTCCCCAGAGGCACCACTTTGGTTCAATATGTTGATGATTTGCTGATAGCCTCTGAAACAGTACATGACTGTCTTACAGCCACTCAGGCTGTCCTGCTTCACCTGCATGATGCAGGTTTTAAAGTTAGTAAATCTAAACTTCAGGCAGTTCGTACACAGGTCTCTTTCCTCGGTAGGTTGGTCTCTGCTAAAGGTACAACACTATCACCAGAACACAGGGCGTCTATACTACATCATCCAAAACCCACCACTGTACAAGACATGTTATCCTTTTTAGGTTTAACTGGGTACAGCAGACACTATATACCTGATTATAGTGAACTCACCACTCCACTCAGACAGATGGTAAAAGATCAAGGTAACAGAAACCTTAAAGCAAAACTTGTGTGGAACACAGATGCAGAACATGTGTTTATTAATTTGAAGCAACTCTTGTCCAGAGCAGCTGATTTGGCTCTGCCTGATTACTCAGCCCCGTTTTTTCTTGACGTTTCTGAAGCAGAAAACACCGTTAATGGTGTTCTGTTTCAGAAAAAGGGGGGTGGTAGACAGGTGTTGATGTACGCAAGTGTGATGTTGGATGGTACTGAGAAGCGTCATCCAACATGTACACAGGCAGCAGCAGGTCTTGCAAGGATTGTTTCAAAAATAGCACACATCGTCATGGGACACCCACTACACATACTAACGACACACAACATAGTAGCTTATGTTAATTCTGAGCTCTTTACAATGACATCCTTAAAGCAAAGACGCATGAGCAACATCCTATCAGAACCGAATTTATTGTTCCTGCATGAAGGCATAAACATGGCAGATGGTATGCAAACAACACAAGCACATGATTGTGTGCAAAAAGTGTACATGGAGGAACGCATTAGACCTGATTTACAGACTGAACTCATACCACATTCAAATGTACTTTACACAGATGGTTGCTGCTTCAGGTGTGAGGATGGGTCTTTGAGATCAGG